GATGAGATGTGATCATTTAAAGGCTTCTCGCTCCAAGCTCTCTCCACACAAAGGCTCCCTCCCTGTTTACAGAAGGACACTCAGTTTCCTTCCAACAATTATGAGGGGAATTGAATTTGAGGAAACATTGCTTTTCTTCTCCGTCGGACCACACAATGACGCTCTCCCCAAAGGTTTTCAAACGCATCTGTCTTCAAAGGCCAGGAGAGCATTATAACAGCAGGTTTAAGCACAGGGACAAACAGGCACACACAATCACTGTTTTGGCCTAATTTGTCCTCATCTTTGTGTTAGGTTGTGACTGCTGCTGAAAGGGACAGCTGACCTCTTATTACTTTCTCAAATTAAAGGTCCTATATTACATATAATTGACTATTGTGAGCTGTAAGTCATGTTATAATATAATTTCCTCATCAAAAACATACCTGGAGCTGAGTTTTGTTTTGTTTCACTCAGATGGTTGAGTAATCCTTTATTATTAGTCAGTCTGCATCTCCAAAGCTCAAAATGCTCTGTCAGGTAACACCTTTTAACTTAAAGTTTTGTAGAGTTTGTATTCCAGAGCTGAAATTATCTAGTGAAGATGTATTGAGTTTAAAAACACAGTAGAACACATCCTGTATTACCACATGACATCACAAGGTGTTTTCTGTTTGAGAAAAAAAGCATGGAGGGGGACTCAGAGCATAAAAAATTAAAGTGAAGCAATTTGTTTAATTGATATATAATGTCAATAATTATTTTTTGTTATTTTTTTTCATGTTGAAGCTATGATTTATTAACCTGATTCATCAGCCGTTTCACTTCGTGGAAACCGTCTGACCTCGTAGCATTAGGATTCGTTCACTCGATGGTAGACGGGTACTTTTTTTATTTAACCATTCGCTGCTATTTGGTCATGACGTATGTAACGCACCAAATCCCGTAGGAAGAAGGGCAATAATGTCTTTCCCCTTGAGAAAATTCAACAAATATTCTCTTTGTTCCAGCTTTAAATCCTCGATCTCGGGAATCGTTGCCAACATGGAATGTATGGCTCTTCGCTGATTGGCTGGTGCCCGTACTCGCACTTTTGAGATTCTTGCAAACCGTGTAGTGTATTCCGATTCCTGACCAGTCGCTGGAGAGAAATTAAATTGAGCTGAGGCACTAGGTAGCACCAGCCTGTCTAGTGAATTAGTGGTCTGAGTAGGGGACAGATTTATGTAGTATCTTTTTACCTTCAAATCTTGCAGTTTTAGATCTCTCATTCTAAAATACATGTGATTATTGTATTGTATCTCTTAAATATTTATGCTGCTGGAGTTCTTTGTACACTATGAGTATCACAGTTACATTTGTATGTATTTTTTCCCAAATTGTGCAGCCCTACAAAAAATGTATAACTTGGACCTTCAGATCTGTAATGAAAATGGCAACTTTAGTCTAAGTTCTTTTCTCAAATGGAAAACACTGTTCTACCTTGAGATGCCATTTGGTAATACAGGAAGTGCTCCACTGTGTTTTTAAAATCCATACACCTTCACTATAAACATTCACATAATTTCACCTCTGGAATGTCCCATCTCTGCAGGACTGAAGGTAAAAGGTACAGTAGCTGTTAACTTGAATACTTCCGCTTCATGACATCTGAAGGTGGAATAGAGCATTTTGAGCTTTGAGGATGTAGACGGACTAATAATACTGGATTTTTCAAACACTGCAGGATTGCGACTAAAAATGTACAACTTGGACCTTGCTCAGATCTGTAGTGAAAAAGGCATAACTTTGACAGATGTACCTGGCACCCCCTCTCCTCTCCCCCTCCCTCCAAACCAGTGCCCCTTATTTTCTCCGAGTATCTGTTTGAGAGATAAATGACCAGTGCAGCGCTGCGGATGACGGCCTACACAAAGATGATATTGAATTGATTTCAGAAATGTTGCAGAACTGACTGTTTGATGTATACTGCCAGTCGTGAATCATAAGAATTCTATTAAAAACTCTTGAATGGCTGACACCACAATGTTATTTGCGATGATTAATTTGGCTCAGTCTTTACAATGGGAGTCAAGTTGGACTGGTGCACACAAAAAATCTTTTCATTCCCCATTGAATTTGTCTGTTTTTATTTTTTACTTACTTCGATCTGACTGGACTTCTTTTGCGCAGTTGCGTAAAGAAGGATATTACACTTTGATGGGGTATTAGCTGCTAACACGGTACATATTTTCATCACCGTGTTACCTTTTAGTCTATATTCGGTGAAACTAACATACTGCTCTTCATGCTAAGTCACTCCCCTTTCAGAGCGCTTTGCACACAATGAGCGTGCAAACTACTGCACATTGCATCAAGTTGTAGTGTACTGTTTTGTATCATGCTTTTGTATATTTATGAAAAATTACAGTGTGCCTAGGACAGGATTGTACTGCTGGCCATAAGGAGGACCTGGGAGAGATCAATATATTACTCAAACATGCATGGATAACATCTAAAACATGTTTTTGATGAAAGAACAATATTATAACATGGTAGAAAGCTTCAAAATGTAGATTTTTGCATCAACTACCACCTCAACCCTTCCAACCAGATATAATTTCTTAAAGAAGCCAATCTTTTCTTTCTAATTTTATGCATTTTGCACTAATTTACTTTGAAAATCATCTAAGAAGCAGATAAAAAATACATAAACAAAGAACATATTTTACATCATAATAGTCTATAATAATAGTGTAACATTTTGTTTAGATCATGCATAATTTTAAACGATAGACACACTCCCACTCTGTTTGAACTATATTAAACAACAATAATAATAATGCATCAGTTTTATATAGAGCTTTTCTGGACACTTAAAGACACTTTAGGTCAGACTGATGGAAGTCAGGCTGCCAATCTGCGCCATCGGCCTCTCCGACCACCACCTTCACTCACTCACACACCACACACAACGCTCCACTGTGGCACCTGATTTTCCCAGTGATCTTCCCATCCAAGTACTAACCAGACCCGGACTTGCTTAGCTCCTGAGCTCTGACGGGATCAGGCTTTGACAAACCTGGTATGGCCACAAACAAATCTTAGCCTTGGTCATTTCTATCTGTGATTAGTTTCTGTCTTACAAATAAATATAACATGAGCGGCTCTTTGAAGCGAACAGTTCAGAAATATTCAGATCCCATGAAAGAATCCAAAGTCCCATCACTACCAGGCTGACATCGCTCCATTAAGCACAATGTTGGTCTTCTTTATTACACATAGCTGCAGCTTTTGTCCCGAAATGAGATGTTCGCGATCTGAAACAAAATTACACCTATTCTGACAAAATGACAAATCACGCACAGTTTATCCAACGTTTTCACAGGAAAGCGGGCTGCGTCTGTGTGACAAGATGTTAATATCATTTCTATCCAGTCTATATTTGTAAAGTGAGTCCCCAGAGAATAGACAGAGAAGGCTTTTGATGTGTTTAAAAGTGGTCACACTGGTTTACACTGCAGTGATGTTGGTACATTCAAAATAATGGGATTGCAAAATGATTATACATATTCTGTCAGTCAAGGTAAATACATTTGCTCTCTAAAATAATAAAGGTATGTGGGGGAAAAAGTGATTAAAATATCTAATGTACACAAGTAGAAGCTGTGTATGTTGCTGCTATGAAAATGTTACTCTCGGTACATGACAAGAGACCAAGAAATGTGTATTTTTCCACTTCAAACCACATATATAGAGATTAAATTATCACACACAAACCATGTATAATTAGGATAAGTTGTTGTGGTGGTAATACAGGAAATGCTCCACTGTGTTTTTAAATTTCATACTAGTGTCTTAATATGTAGTATGTCACAGTATGTAGTAAGTTTCAAGATTCAAGAGGTTTTTTTTTACATTCTCCTCTTGACTGCATCTGGACTCGGTCTTGTCTCGGTCTTGTCTTGTTCTTGAAGGCGCTTGGACTCGGTCTTGTCTTGGATTGAAGGTCTGACACTCGACAAGTGCCCCATCATATTTCATTACGGCTGTCAATTAATTTCTTACCGGCAATTAATTTCTTGTGGTTGAAGTTTGACTAATAAAAGTGCACAATTGCATCTGTATTTGTCACAACGTGCAAATGTGCAGAGGCTGGCAAACACCACTGCAAAACCAGTAAGAGAATGTAACTCCAGTTAGAAACTAAAAAAAAGTGTTAAAAATCATACCCACTTTCTTCACTTTCTTAACAGTTTTCTGCTAAGTGTCAGTGGAAGTTCTCTTAAAGAAGGGGTTCTCAAACTGTGGGTGAGGGTCCAAAAAGGGAGCACAGTTTGCTTGGCTTATTTTATGCCTAAATTAACACTGATCAGATCAAATGGGGATAGATCTAAAAAAACATTGATATGTATGTGCCAAAATTACTGTGAAATACAAATAAATGTAGAAAATTATAAAGATGGTCTCAGTTTGGTCTCGATGGGCCTTGGTCTTAGTCTTGTCTCGGTCTCAGCCTTTAAAAGTCTCAGTCTTGTCTTGGTCTTGTCTTGGTCTCGGGACCCTGTGGACTCGGACAGGTCTTGGTCTCGATTAGTGCAGTCTTGACTACAACACTACTTCATACACCTTCGCCTGAATCATTTGGATAATTTCAGCCCTGGTATTGCCAAACTCTACCAAACAAAAGGTAAAAGGTAGATATGAAAACTACCACTTCATGACATCACAGGGTGGAACACAGCATTTTGAGCTTTGGAGATGTACAGACTAATAATGCAGGATTACTCAAATATGTGTTTTTGAGGTGGTAACAGCATTATAACGTGGCTTAAAGCTCACAAACAGGGTAACTGTGTTCATTTATCTATACAGTTTATGGTCTGAACTGCAGAAGGTTATATCCATATTTTGTGTAAACAGATTTTTTTTTTCTTTTTTTAGGGCACTAATTTTATTTTTATGCAAATTTCGAATAATTCAGCTTTTGTCAGTAATATAGTGAGTCTTTTTCTTATCCTGTTCTCTCTTGTGCTCCACAGAACTACACAGGCCAGAGCGGAGGAGGAGGCGGCGGCGGAGGAGGGGGCGGGACTAACGGCGGCGGCAACGGAGACGAGGACTACGAGATCCCGCCCATCACCCCGCCCAACCACCCCGAGCCCCCCCTCCTGCACCTGATGGAGCACGACTCAGCGGGATACCTGTGCCACTCCCTGCCCCACAACGGACTGCTCAACCCATACTCCTACCCCGAGCTGCCCACCCTCATGATGTCCAACATGCTGACCCAGGACGGGCACCTCGTCTCCAGCCAGATGCACTCGGTGAGTACCCTGAGAGTACCCTGACCGCCTGGGACAATTGTTCATGCTGTTGACTAAAATGTTGTCTCCATAGTTTTTGTCAAGGTTATTTTCTAAATTAAAAGTAATCATTATGACTAAACTATGACTAATATTACAGGAGTACTTTTGCGCTGACTAAAACTATGACTAACAGTTTGTATTTCCACTGATTAAAAGTACGGGTAATGTTTAATGTTTATTTTTTTTATAATAATAATAAACATAAATTAATAAAAGCAATGAGTAGAGACTAGATCCAAGTTTCACTTTCAATTCCAGAGCCCCCAACATAAACAAACTCAACATCTGTATATGATGTCCCATGATGAAATGCAATACAACTGATCATAATAAAAACATAAATCGTAAAACTGTCAAAGTTTTATATGCGCTTTTCCATCTTCAAGGCACTCAAAGCTCTTTACATCAAGGAACCACTCACCCACTCACTCACACACACTCAGACACCAGTGTACACAGACACTGGAGGCAAGGTGAGTTAAGTGTCTTGCCCAAGGACACAACAACAGCATTCATCTCTGGGAGCCATGGCTCTATTAAAATAACTGGATAGGGTATTGCTAGTTTATAGCTGCCTCCAGTTGACGTAGTGGACACTCACTGGTACTACAGTGGAAAAAATCCTCTGGGCCGAGAAAGGATTTTTCTCAGAGCGCAATGTAATCACAAACGTCTTGTGTTCAGCTGACAGGGCACCTACAACTTTCAAAAATGTCAAATTTTGTGGTGATTTTTACCTATTTTTAGATCATGAACTTTTTCTCAGCTCAAAAATCTTCAATTGTTTTAAAAAAAATGCTTTATAATAGTTATCTCCGGCTCCACTCTGCTGCGCTCTAGCTCCTTTCGCTCTGATTGGTCAAAGCGATCACATGATACATGAGACCAGAGCCACCAGAAGTACCCAGCCGGGCTAAAGGCTAATCTGGAGTCTTGTGCCATTGAGCTTGACCCATTGATTTGAATGGGCGGCCATTTTGAAACCCGGTGGCTTGGTGGGAGCTGGAATCACACCGCCAACCTTCGGACACTCCACCAATTGAGCTACTATCACTCATATTCTTTGTGTTTGTTGACTAAAATGAGACTAAACTAGACTAAAGCTAAAAACATATATATTTCAATTTAATATAATTAGGGTGAAAAGACCAAATCTATAACTAAATAAAAATGTATTGTCAAAATGAACACTGGGTGGCACAAAACAGCAGTGTGGAGGTAGTGGCTGTTTTCAAATTCAAGTTATCAGTATTGAACACTTTATGAGATTTTATTTGGTTAGATAGATGCATAAATGTTGAACCTAAAGATTTATTTTAGTGAACGGCTCTTATCTTAAAACAAAAGTCAGCATTTTAACAATAGAAATTTCCTTATATCTATCCAGAATCTTAAAGTCTATCAGTGTGTACTGTAGATGAGACATATTTTGGGACCTGATGTGTTCTAATAGTTCTGTTACTTTTAGCCATTGCATTATTGCATACAGACGGAGACACCTAATCCAAGGTTTCAAATGCAAAGTGTGAAAAAACAACAATAATATATCTTCATTTATACTTCCATAAATATGTTGATGTAGTTTAGGGACAAAATATGGTATTAGCTGTTCTTTCAGTTTTTGAATCCTATCCACAAAATGCTTTTAAAACATCTATATATTTATGTCATTGAAAAATAATTATTTAACTAAAAAAAAAAAAAACTTGAACATGGCCCTGTAAGCTAAATGTAGCCATGGACTCAAATGGCAGGGAGCTGTAATAATTGCGCTGAGTGATTGTTCAGTGGCTGCCATGTCAGCTCTGATGCATGGAGAAAGGGATTGTGGGTAAATCCATCAGCCTCATATCAGCGTGGACAGCATGCATCGGTCAAGCTGTCAGGTCCCCGACATGAATACTGGCTGATTACTCCCCCAGCACTGCACACAGCTCCTCTGTGAATTAGCATTTCCCATCCATAATTGTATTCAAAGAGGAGCATTAGCGCAGGTTTCTATGACGACTATAATGTGTATGATTATGTATAGGTGGCACTGGTCCTTGGTTTCACTTTGTTTTTCACTTGTTTAATGTTAAGCTGGTTTACAAGTTCAAAGAAAGTATAATCCTGTACACTGAAGATAACAGTATTTTATTTCATTTCAATCCTATGGTGGTTAGAATGATGTATTTTTATGTCAAAGAGTTCTGTTATGTAAACATAAGCTAAGATATGTAATAAATGTACTTTTTTTTCCTTTTTTTTTTGTTCTTCATTATTTTAAAGCTGATTTCTACTATATATCGCAATTATATTACACTGCATTATACTAATCATGTCAGTGTATTAGGAAGGACAGTGCTGGCTAGAATAAAGACCAGGACAAGTGTGTTTCCCAGGGATACAGTGACAGTATGCGCTGGTCAGAGCAAGGCTCAAACTTCTAATCCTCCTGTTAAACTGTTGGATAAATCTTGCAAAATTAACATTGCTGAATTTTTACCTTTTTATAAACTTGTTCCCTCATCTCAAACATGCCTGAAGTTGTATTTTGCTTCATTCATGCCTGTTTCATTTATTCTGTTTGTGAGGTAGTCTTCTCTGAACCTCAGAAAACACTCCATTCCAATTTTCCTGGATTGTTACGTCATAGATCAGATACCCAATAGTCACCTGTGTTTGAGTTTGTGTTTATTTATTAAAGGGACAGTGCATATCAAAAGACAAACATGTACCTGCAAAAGACAGACATGTACTTGTAAATATGCAGGATTGTAGCTGAAGCTTCTTTCCAGTCTCCGTCCCCTACTGGACCAAGACCAGCCACGTCACCCACACAATTTATAAAAATCACAAAACAAGCCTCCACATGCATCTCTCATGGAGTGCATATACATGCGCTAGAGTATCCTGGTTATGATCAGGTTTTTTAAGTATCTCGGTTATGATCAGGTTTTTTGAGTATCTCGGTTATGATCGGGTTTTTTTCAGTATCCCATTTATGATCTGTTTTTTTTCACCTGACTAGTTGTGAGTCTTTCTGAAGTCAAATTATGTTTACTGCGAACACTTGGCTCTATTAGCGTAGCAGCCACGTTGCCTTTTGCTTTTATTTACGCAGAAGTTGCTCCAACACCTAAACATTTGCAGGTGGACATTTAAAGTGTATTTTCCATTTAAAGTGCATACATTCTTTTAATTAATTTCATTCTATTAATGCCAAGATAACAACAGTCCTGTTTTAAAGCCACTTAAAACCATAAGAATGCTTGGACTTTTGGACTTTTAAAGTGCATTTTTGTACATTCTTTTAAGTTAAGTTAGACAACATGTACTAATGCCAAGGTAACAACAATTCTGTTTAAAAGCCACTTAAAACTACAAGAGTGTAAAATATGTCCACTTTATCGGTCTACTCTTCTTGTCTATTCTAATTTCCAACATTAAAGAGTCCATACTGCGTTTTGTTGTTGTTGTTGTTATTTCCTCACTAAAGACATACCTGGAGTAGTATTTAGTTTCATTCACAACCTTGCATATTTAGGCTGATTTCTTCAAGAAGTGCTCCACTGTGTTTTTAAACTCCACACACCTTCACTAGAATCATCTGGATAATTTCAGCCATGGGATTGCCAATCTCTACTGAACAAAACGTAAAACGTAAAGCTGTTAAATTGAAAACCAAACTACTACATGACATCACAAGGTGGATGAGAGCATTTAGTGCTTTGGAGATGTAACACACACTAATAATAAAGAATTACTCAACCATAAATGAAACAAAACACAACTCCATGTATGTTTTTAATGAGGTAACAATATTATAACATGGATTAAAGCTCACAAAGAATCCATTTCGTGTAATATAGCACCTTTAACTCAAGGTACTTCATAATTTACTAGACAGTTTTGTACATTTCTTTACCAAAAATTACACATTACACAATCCATATTAAAAATGAAACAGTACACCATTGGATTTAGTTGAATAACAGTGCAATAGGAATCCACCGACAGCTGTGTTTCTCATAATATTTACATCAGCGCTTATGTCCTTCTATCTACAATGACAGATCAGACGCTTGTTTTGTCTGCAGTAATGAACACCAATTACAGCTGTATTAGAAAAGCTTTATTTCAATCCACATCGAAGCACCAAGGTCAGCTCTATGCATTGTGCTGCCGGTCATATACACAAGATAAACAGCCAGGGAAAATCAAGTTTGATAAAGATCGGAAACATAAAGGGGCCATATATAATGTCGAATATGGGACTGGAGACTGGAGAGATTGCATTGCTGTGTCATTTGTCTTCATATACATTTCATATTTTGGTCATGACCTTTACCGTGGAGACGTTTTCTGATTGGACGCTCCGTGACTTTGAGAAGGGCGTATTTGTTAGTGCTGTAGTGGAGCATGTGCTAGCTTCTATGTAGCGTTATAATAATGAATATGTACAAATGTGAAGGTACGGAAAACAGGAATTTGGGCGTAACTATATTCATGATCTGGATTCAAAATAATAAAAAATATGTTCTTCTTATTGAGTAGAATCAGACAAAGGCAGCAGTAGTTGTAGTAGTTAGTAGTAGTATTAGTAGGAGGTGGTAGTAGTTGGTAGAAGTAGTAAGAAGTAGGTTGTAGTGGTAGTTTGTAGTAGTAGTAGTAGTAGTTAGTAGTATTAGGTAGAAGTAGTAGGTGGTAGTAGTAGTAGTTAGTAGTAGTAGTGGGTAGTTATAGTAGTATTAGTAATAGATAGTAGTAGTAGTTAGTAGTAGGTAGTAGGTTTAGTAGTTGTTGAAATAGTAGTAGTAGTAGTACTTAGTAGTGTTAGTAGTAGTAGGTAGTAAGTAGTAGTAAGTAGTCCTAGTAGTTAGTAGTAGTAGGTAGTATTAGTTAGAAATAGTTATTAGTAGTAGGTGGTTAGTAGAAGTCAGTAGTAGTAGGTAGTAGTAATAGTTAGTAGTTGT